CCATCAGAGACTCATTCACCTGCACGTCTACTAATGTTATATATGCCATTGTGTGCCAGCAATGCCCCTCTGCCATGTACATTGGCCAAACCAGACAGTCCCTACGTAAAAGAATAAATGGACACAAATCGGACATCAGGAATGGCAACATACAAAAACCAGTAGGAGAACACCTCAATCTTCCTGAAAATTCTATAACAGATTTAAAAGTAGCTATACTTGAATAAAAAAAACTTCAGAAACAGACTTCAAAGAGAAACAGCAGAACTAAAGTTCATTTGCAAATTTAACACCATTAATTTGGGCTTGAGTAGGGACGGGGAGTGGCTGGCTCATTACAAAAGCAGCTTTGCCTCTCCTGGAATTGACACCTCCTCATCTATTATTGGGAGTGGACTACATCCACCCTGATTGAATTGGTCTTTTCAACACTGGTTCTCCTCTTGTGAGGTAACTCCTTTCCCTTTATGTGTCATTATATAATGCCTGTATCTGTAATTTTCACTCCATGCATCTGAAGAAGTGGTGTTTTACCCATAAACGCTTATGCCTAAATAAATCTGTTAGTCTTTAAGGTGCCACCAGACTCCTTGTTGTTTTTGTGGATACAGACTAATACGGCTACCCCCTGATTTTTGAACCCTGTTATAATCATGGTCTTCACAACATCCTCTGGCAAGGAATTCCACAGGTTGACAGTGTTGTGTGAAGAAATACTTCCTTTTGCTTGTTTTAAACCTGCTGCCTATTAATTTCATTTGGTGACCCATAGTTCTTGTGTTATGAGAAGGAGTAAATAACACTTTCTTATTTATTTTCTCCGCACCCCTCATGATTTTATAGACCTCTATCATATCCCTTTTAGTCGTCTCTCTTCCAAGCTGAAAAGTCCCAGTCTTTTTAATTGCTCCTCATATGGAAGCTGTTCCAAATCCCTAATAATTTTTGTTGCCCTTTGCTGTACCTTTTCCAATTCCATTGTATCTTTTTTGAGATGGGGTGAGCTGATCTACACAAAAAGTATTCAAGATGTGGGTGTACCATCAATTTATATTGAGGCAATGTGATATTTTCTGTCTTATCTATCCTTTTCCTAATGATTCCCAACATTCAGGTAGCTTTTGTGACTGCCCCTGCACAGTGATACTCCTGAGGGCATTCTGCGCCAAAAAATTTAAAATTCTGCACACAATATTCTAAAATTCTGCAAAATTCTGCAAATTTTATCAAATAAATGTGGAGGCTCCAGCATAGCACTGGGGAGCACAAGCCACTGGTTGCACAAGGGTGGGTGATTACTGTGCAGCTCCCACTTCCTGGGACATGGACTCAGTGGTAAGGCTGCACTCAACCCTGACACAGCGCATGGACCGGGCATGCCCCAGAAACCCCTCAGAGCCCTGCCCCTCCGTGCCAGGTTCATCAGGTGTGAGCAGGCAGGCTCACAAGATAGGATCCAAGTGAGAAGGGGCTTACCGTGGGGGAATCCAGGTGTGGGTTGAGAGGGTTCGGTGTGTGGCAATCTGGGTGCAGGCAGCTCAGTGGGGTTTCCAGGTGTGGGGGGATCTGGATGCACAGGGGCTTCATGGGGGTTTCTGGGTGCAACAGTAATGGTACTGTTCGGGGGGGGCCTGGTGAAGGTAGTTGGGGCTCAACAGGGCAGGTCTGAGTGTGGGTGGGGCTAGAACTCTGCAGGGGTGTCTGGGTGTGGGGGGCTCAGTGGGGAGGGGGGTCCAGATGCTGGGAGAGTGGGGCTTAGTGTGGTTGGGATCCAGGTGCAGTGGGTTGGGGCGCAGTAGGGTGGGGATCTGGGCGGTTCAGATGCAGGGGGAGTGGGGCTCATTGGGGGGGTTCTGGGTGTGTGGGGGGGTGAGGCTCGGCAGGAGGGTCTGGATACACAGGGGTTAGATAGATGTGGGGAGCAACTCTCTGTACAGTGATCCATCCCGCTGCTGCTGAGGAGCAAGGGGTTCAGGAAGCATGGGGTAGGTGGGGGAGTTTGCAGAGCTTCCTACAGCTGGGGGAGAAATCTGGAGGTGGGTCTGACCTGGCCCTGGACACCGTGCAGGGGAAGAGGAAGTCCTGTCTTCCTGAGTCCAGATGGAACTAGCAGCTGAGCCTGGCGCAGGGTAGGAGCTACCAGCTGTGTCTTCCCCAGTCCCACCCCACAGTGATTTATCTCTCTGCCAGCTGCCCTGGACACCCAAAACATACTTTTGGGGAGGGTTGCATGACCGCTCTTGTGGCTTCTCTTTGCTTCCCTGAAAGAAAGTTCATTTTTCTTCAGGGAAACAAAGAAATCCTGCTCATGTGCAGTGGTGCAGATTTCCCCCACGGGTAACATTGAGTGGATGTTTTTAGAGAACTGTCCACAATGACTCCAAGATCTCTTTCTTGAGTGGTAACAGTTAATTTAGACACCATCATTTTATATGTATAGTTGGGATTATGTTTTCCAATGTGCATTACTTTGCATTTATCAACAATGAATTTCATCTGCCTTTTTGTTGCCCAGTCACCCAGTTTTGTGAGGTCCCTTTGTAACTCTTCGCAGTCTGCTTTGGGCTTAACTATCTTGAGTAGCTTTGTATCATCTGCAAATTTTTCCACCTCGCTGTTTATCCCATAGGCGCCAACTCCTTGGGTGCTCCAGGGCTGGAGCACCCACGGGAAAAATTAGTGGGTGCTCTGCATCCACAAGTAGCCACACTCCCCTCCCTGCCCCACCCCCACCTCACCGCACCTCACCTCAGCCTCCTCCTCTGAGTGCGCCGGGTCTTCACTCAGCCTCCTACGTCCCAGTGCTTGCCACCACCACACAAATGTTTGGCAGCATAGCAAGCTCCAGGAGGGAGCGGGGAGGAGCGGAAACGTGGCGCACTCAGGGGAGGAAGTGGGGAAGAGGCGGGGACGGGGAGTTGGGGAAGGAATCAGAATAGGGGCAAGGAGGGGGTGGAGTTGGGGCGGGGACTTTGGGGAAGGGGTTGGAATGGGGGTGGGGCAGGGGGAGGAGGAGGAGGGCAGGGATGGACTCAAGGTAGGGCCAGGAGCAGAGGGGGGTTGAGCACCCACCGGCACAAGCAGAAGTTGGCGCCTATGGTTTACCCCTTTTTCCAGATCATTTATGAATATGCTGAACAGTACTGGTCCCTGTACAGACCACTGGGAGCACCACTATTTACCTCTCTCCATTGTGAAAACTGACCATTCTCTCCTACCCTTTTTCCTATCTTTTAACCAGATACTGATCCATGAGAGGACCTTCCGTCTTATCCCATTACAGCTTACTTTTCTTAAGAGCCTTTGATGAGGGCCCTTGTCAAAGACTTTCTGAAAAAGTACATTGTGTCCACTGGATCACCACTGCCTACATGCTTGTTGAGCCCCTGAAAGAATTCTAGTAGATTGGTGAAGTATGATTTCCCTTTACAAAAACCATGTTGACTCTTTCCCAACAAATCATGTTCAACTGTGTGTCTGATCATTCTCTTCTTTACTATAGTTTCAACCAATTTGCCTGGTACGGAAGTTAGGCTTACTGGCCTGTAATTGCCGAGATCACCTCTGGAGCCTTTTTAAAAAATTGGCATCACATTAGCTATCCTCCAGTCATCTGGTACAGAAGCTGACTTAAATGATAGGTTACATACCACAAGTAGTAGTTCTGCAATTTCACATTTGAGTTCCTTCAGAACTCTTGGGTGAATACCATCTGGTCCTGGTGATTTATTATTGTGTAATTTAATTTGTTCTAAAACCTCCTCTAAAGACATCTCAGTCTGGGACAGTTCCTCAGTTGTCACCTAAAAAGAATGGTTCAGGTTTGGGAATCTCCCTCGCATCCTCTGCATTGGTGAAGACAAATGTAAAGAATTAATTTAGTTTTTCTGCAATGGCCTTACCTTCCTTGAGTGCTCCTTTAGCATCTCGATATGATAGTCCAGTGGCCCCACTGGTTCTTTAGCAGGCTTCCTGCTTCTGATGTTGGCCTAGCATTATCAACTTTGGCACTTAGGTCATCTTAACTACATCTCTCGGGGGTTGAAAAATTCACCCTAAGCAATGTAGGTAGTTGACCTTAGTTTTAGGTGTAGACCAGGCCTGAACAACATCCTAGCCCCAGACAAACAAATAAACAGAAGTGTGCAGATCTGGTATAACATAGCCCAAATGAAGTGCAAACCAATTTAGGCCTCATGCCACTTTTCTATCCTTTAACTACCCACTAGGGTAACATAATACAAGATAATTTAATCATACAGAGTAAATATGATCCAACATGGACAAGAAAAAAAATGCAAAAGCAGAAAACTATAGAACAGAATATCAACACAGGAAACATGAAATTAATATTATATTCCCAGATAAGAGTAATGTGAAACTGAAGAGAGAACTTAAGTGTAGAGAACATTACAAAATGATGTAATGGTTACCCAAAGTAGCATTGCAAACCCAGGAAATTCAGTGTTAAGTTATCATCGAAGAAATCCAAACTTGTTAAAATATGGAAATATACACTTAGGTTACCCAAACTCACTTGCTGTAATTTTTTTTGTAAGCCTTTGTTTGACGGTCTTTTTTAGGCAAACATTGGCATTTGATTACAAGCTCCAATATTACGTTGGCTTTTTTGTATAATCTGACACTTTCATGAACTCGCTATATCTTTGATACAGTGGTTTACATGGGATCAGAGTAACAGAGACAATATGAATAACCAGTTGTGTTCAAATCTTCAGACCTATGCACTCCATATCTTTGGTTTCTCAAAGTATTGTTCCCTGGTTAGTGCCACTTGTGATGCACCCTCTCTCTGAAAAGCATCTGTAGAGGGGACATTATTGCTATCTCACTAGTTAAGATTGGCAATATTGTTAATTAAAAACAGAGGTACAGAAAAGCAAAATAGAAGACAGATAATTGTCCTCTGGGGTAAAGAAAGTTTTAATCTGAATCTCTTCTTCACAAAGGCTTAAACATGCTTTTATTTTTTCCTCTAGCAATATTTCCAAGAATTCGCTAAAGGCTGTCTTGCTGCAACTTGAATGCCATTTTACATGGACGTTGCTGAAGGATGATGTTGATCTTGATAACTTAGAGGAGACAATTTGTGATCAGATTGAGTTTCTAATCACAAAATCCAAAATCACTAATTATAATCTGCTAGCCTATGTGAAACACATGAAAGGCAACAGTGAGGAAGCTCTGGAAAGTCTACAAAAAGCTGAAGGAGAAGTTCAAACAAATCATGCAGATGAGGTTGACAGGAAAAGTCTTGTTACCTGGGGGAACTATGCTTGGATCTATTACCATATGAACAAACTTCAAGAAGCTCAATCCTACATAGGCAAGGTGGAAAGCAGCTGCAAAAAGCTCGCAAGTGCATCTCGCTATAAGATCCAGCTCCCTGAGATCTACTGTGAACAAGGGTGGGCACTATTAAAGTTTGGAAAAAAGTATTACGAAAGAGCAAAGAAATGCTTTGAAAAGGTTCTGGCAGAGACACCCAACAATCCAGAATTTAATTCTGGCTATGCAATTGCCATATATCGCCTGGAAGATTTTCTTACAAAAGGCTCTTCTGGTGAGGACTCATCACTGGAACCTTTAAGGCATGCAGTAAGGCTGAATCCAAATGACACTTTTGTTATGGCACTTCTTGCACTGAAACTTCAGGACATAGACCAAGTCGAAGAAGGAGAAAAGTACATCAAAGAAGCATTGCAAAAAACCCCAGATCTTCCCTATTTATTGAGATATGCTGCAAAGTTTTACAGAAAAAAAGGACTAGTGGAGAAATCACTGGGGTTTTTGAAAAAGGCATTGGAATTTACACCAACCTCTGGTTTCCTGCATCATCAGATAGGTCTTTGCTACAGAACACAATTATACAAAATGAAAAAGGAAACAAAATATCCACCTAGAGAGCAGATGGAGGAACTGATTCGATTTGGCATTTTTCATTTTAAAATGGTGGTAGAGCAAAAATCAAAGTTTATGTATGCCTATATTGACCTAGCAAGCATGTATGCAGAAGGCAATCAATATCAAGAAGCAGAAGACACCTTTCAAAAAGTATTTAAGATGGAGAAACTCACCTGTGATGAGAAGCAACAACTCCACTACCGCTATGGACGCTTTCAGGAATATCACAAAAAGTCCGAATCTGAGGCCATTAATCATTACACAAAAGGGCTGAAAATTGAGAAAAACTCACATGAAAGAAACCTGTGTAAATATGCTCTGAAGAAATTAATAGAAAGGAGAATTCAGAGAGGCTCTGCAGATGCTAAAAGTTTGGGTATTCTTGGACTTATTCACCAACTGAATGGGGAGAAGCCTCAAGCAATTGAGTGTTATGAGAGAGCCCTGGCACTGGAGCCTGATAATGAAGAATACTTGAGTGCTCTCTATGAGATACGGCTTTCCATAGAAATCTAAAGCTTCTAACAGCTGGCAGAGAATCCATTTCTGTAACCACCCAAATAAAATTTTTATTTCAAACTGTATATGATGAAAGTTTGTCAACTTCCTGCATTATTTATAAGATAGCCTGAATTCCTCATTTAGGCAAAACTTGCATTGGGATTAGGCCTATAGTTTGGACGCTCTTTATTGGCATGTAGTGCAGACTTTGTAATCCTAGCAGTTAATGAGCTCTTGCGTCCTCTCTCCCCTGTAAAATAGCTATGTTTATGTTGATAACAAACATTATTCTGCAGTGCTTGAAGTGAAAGTGTAACAGATAGCACTACCAGCTGGTGATCATGTAAAACCTGGAAAATGATGTTTTCTAACTTGCATATCACCAAGAGTATGATTGGAGAAAACATATAATAGTTATCTATCTTTTGACTCAATTTAAGAGCTCTGTAAATATCTGTGTTTGTGTTAATTTCTGCTCTTAGATACATAGCTTCAACATGAATCATCAGAACATACAGTACACTGGGAAAAGATGAGGGTTAAAATTTATCAAGAGTCTCTTAGTTCATGCTCTTTCAAGACATCAGATAATTGAGTGCATCCTCCTATGAGGGAAGGAAATACTAATGATATGGACTGGATACTACTGATGGGTTTTATAATTTTGGACAGGGTGGATTTATCTTGTTACTAGGATGCACACTTTGGAGCTATATTCAAAATTCAGTATGGGCCATGGACTTTTGTGAGTTTGGGAGTCTGTAGGCTTGCATAATTGACTGTGTTTGCAGTAATTGTTTAACCATGAAGAAAAAAGAGCCCTGCTTGTATCTTTTTTCCAATGAGAATCTTATAAACCATGTACCATTTGCACTTTGCTGTATTTTTGTAAATTATTAAACTGCACTAAGTCAATTAAATTATGCTTTGGGAATCTGTCTGCAGACCAACCCTCACGTCTGTATGTAAAAGCTACTAAAATGGCTATTTAAAGCATAGCAATAAAATTCTGATCAGATGTTAAGGAGCCAGAGAAAAAGCCCCACTTGATTTCCTGGACTGCCTGCAAAGCTAGTTTTCGTAGTTTTGCACTGAACCATTGAACTGTGCATAGAGAGCATCTTTCTAATTCAAGTACATTCCACAATCTTGGGTATGTGCACATGGGTAGAGGGACGAGAGGACATAAGGGGTGAATGCAGGAGGAGGTGACGGAGCATTGGGCACAGGGAAAGAAGTTTGACAGGGTATGCGGGAGGGGATAACAGAGCACAGGGTCCAGGCACATGGAGGAGAGGAATGACGGAACACAGGGCATGGTTCGCATAGGGTAGGGTGTGACAGACCACCGCACACAGGCGCATGGGGAGGGGGGTGACAGGGCACAGTTGCACGAAAAGGGCAGTGACAGAACACGGGGAATGTGCACCAGGGAGAGAGGAGTTCTAGAAGACGGGTTGTTTTTAAAAAAGAAGAGGAAGGTGTGGAGAATGTATTCCGTCTTGTGAATTGCTAAGAAGAATCTAATTGGCTTAGGACTGATGGCCAAAGGGCAAAGCTTGTACAGTGTGACACTTTTACATTCCATTATTGTATCTTGGCCAATGGGATGGCATGCAATGCTCCATGTAGAAAACATACTACATTTCCAAAGCAAACCCCTTTAAGACTTTGTGAAAAAAGTAAGAGCTATTTTTCAGGACCAATTAGATCTTCACTTTTGTACATTTCTATCAGACAGCAAGCACCAGTCAAAATGCAAAAACCCTCCAGCAGTCACATTAAGTGCCCAAATCACTCGTGTTGTTAGAAGTGCTTCACATAGTCAGTCAGTTATCCAGGAATAAATATTACTCATCAAGGGTGTGAAACTCTGGCTTCAGATGCACATGTGGAATTCTCACTCATTGCACTGGCAGCTGTGTTATTGGCAGGTGGGGTTGGTCTCTAGGAAACACAAATGAAGCCAAAGGGAATTTACAATGTGATTTTGGATCATGAAAACCCCCTTTCTGACAAAATTTCTCACAAAATTGATGTCTCCCATCCCATATGCACACGGTCATAAAAGGGTTAGAGAAGTACACTTCCACCTCTTCTCTCTGAAAAGGCGGGGGAGGAGGCCTTTCTTGCTTTTAATAACTAAGGTCCAGATTTTCTCCTCCACTTCCAAAAATAAAGGCGACCCGGAATGGGTGGTAGAGGTGGGGGAGGGACTCCCTGTGGGAGAAGATAAAGGGGGTGGAAGGGAGGGGAAGAGTGTCACATCTACAGAATGATCTATCCCTACCCCACCTCTTTCCCTCTCCAAGTCTGAGAACTGCTGGGAAGAAGAGGAGATGAAGCCAGGAACCACTGACTCTCCAGAGCATGATCCCTGACTGGCCTCACAGATATGAGAGTGAGATATTTCATCTGCACTTGATACTGTTCCAAGTAACGTCATCTTCTGTTAAATCGTCTATGCAACTGCTACTGTGCAGCCATGCAGCAATGGCAGTATGGCTTCCACCTGAGCCATCCTGGTAGGGCAGGGATGGGCAAACTTTTTGGCCCGAGGGCCACATCTGGGTGGGGAATTTGCATGCAGGGCCATGAATGTAGGGCTGGGGCAGGGGCCTGGGGTACGGGAGGGAGTGCGGGGTGTGGGAGGGGGTCCAATGTGCAGGAAGGGGCTCAGGGAAAGGGGTTGGGGTGCAGGAGGGATGTGTGGTGCAGCAGGGGGCTCAAGACAGAGGATTGGGGGGCTCAGGGCAGGAGTTTGGGGTGCAGAGTGCGGGAGGGGGTCAAGGCCGAGGTTTGTGGTGCAGGGTGCAGCAGGGGGCTCAGGGCAGGAGGTTGGGGTGCAGGAGGGGTGCAGTAGGGGGCTGGAGTGTGGGTGCAGGAGAGGTTTGGGGTGTGGGTTCCAGCCTGGCGCCGCTTACCTGGAGTGGCTCTGCGGTGGCAACGGCGTGCAGTGTGGCTAAGGCCGGCTCCCTGCCTTCCCTGGCCCTGCACTGCGCCACTCCCGGAAGTGGGTGGCACCACGTCCCTACGGCTGCTGGGGAAGGGCAAGCAGAGGGCTCCGCGCGCTGTTCTTGCCTGTGGGTACTTCACCTGAAGCTCCCACTGGCCGCGGTTCCCCATTCCCGGCCAATGGGAGCTGCAGGGGGCGGTGCTGCTCTCTGCTCTTTCCCCTCCCCCAGGGGCCTCAGGGACTTGGTGCTGGCTGCTTCCAGAAGGGGCACAGTGCCCGCAGTGCCATGGGGGAGGCAATCCCCGGGCCAGATCCAAAGCCCTGATTGGCTGGATTCAGCCCGCAGGCCGTAGTTTGCCCACCCCTGTGCTAGGGGTTGAGGATGAAGGGGGCAGCAGAGTAGCACTGAGGGGCCAGTCCTCCATCAGGCAGCCTCAGCACATCTGGAGGCTCCCTTTTGTGTAGGAAGGCCATGATCCTCCCCGCCCCTTCCCTGCTATGGAAGGAGACAGTTTTCGGGAAACTCCTCAAGATGAACCTTGAGGAAGGAAGGAGTAGGAAGGCAGCTGTTTGTGGGGAAAGATCTTGGCCAGAAATTTCCACTGGAAAAAAATACCAGGCACCAAAAGCCTCTTAAATCTAGCAGAGAAAGGCATAACAAGAATCAACGGCTAGAAGCTGGTGCCAGATAATTGCAAATTACAGATACAGCACACATTTTTATAACAAGGAGGGTGATTTACCATTGGAACAAAGGGAGTGGTGTATTCCCCATCTCTTGATGTCTTCAGATCAAGACTAGATGCCTTGAATTTATGCTTTAGCCAAAAGATAAACACAAGTTATTGGAGTCAGGGCTAGCTGGGTTAAATGTAATGGCCTGTGAAATACCAGAGGTCAGACTAAGATGATCTAATGATCATTTTTGGCCTTAAATTCTATGAATCTATGAATGTGAAGCCTATACATTTGATGTTTATGTATCTAATGTTAAAGTATATTGCCTTCACATTCCTGGATATTTTATTATATTAAATATTAACATTCTTGAAAGAGAAAAAATAACCAGCATTGAGGCAATGATTACCAAAGCACAGCTTAGATGGACAGATCTTATTATCAGAATGGGTAAGGCTAGACTCCCGAAAAAGTCCTCTATCATGAGATGAAACTCAGAAAGCACAGGAAGGGCAGTAAATATAAATATTTCAAAGACAGGATCTCAAAGCATGAGGCATAACTATAGATAACTTAGAAACAGCCAAGGACACACCTGAATGGAGAGCAATCAATAAAAGTTGTAAACACTTTGAAAAGACAGATACAAAAAACTCATTGAAAAAATGACCACACATCATGCCAAGTCTTCAGTGGGAATCTACACATTCCTATATGACATTTGTTTGCATCCTCGCTCCTCACAGATAGGACTATGCAGCCACAAGAGAACACGAGTTGTCATGATGTCATCATTGAATATGACAGACAGCCATATATGTTATGTACAACTAGTCACCAATTCAAAATAGTTTACAATTTTAAATCTCTCTCAAAAAAATTTCAGAATCTGAGCCACATATTATTTCTATTTCTTAGTGCAGGTGCTAGATTACATATATTTCTATCATTACATAAATTAAATTAAGGACCATTAAGGTTGGTAGAAGAAGAAAAAAAAGCCCAAAACACTGGGCTTACATAGGAAAGGTTATAACTTGTGTATTAACTTGTTTAGGTACTGGATGTACTGTAGATTTCAGCAAATCTGTATCAGTGTAGAGTTTTGTATGTGTGAGAGTGATTTTCTTCCCCACCAGATGGTTCTGTTGCTTAGTTTTGTGCTGTCAAGAGACTGAGCCTTTGGCATTATTCAGAATGAAATATAACTGAAAGAGGTGAAAGCTGCTCTGTTTTGGTACTGGGTCTGATACTTAAACAGGGCACATTTGTTAGATTTACCTCTTTAAACAGACAGAAAATCCCTGAAAAACACTACCATGCATTTCACAGCCTACTTCTTCTTCTCAATAGGGCAAAGCTTGAAGAAACTGCACTAGGCAACTATAGAACAGATCTTCTAGCTTAGAAAAGCTGGGAAACCTGAAGCCATGCCTGATTTTTACCACGCAGGCCTAGGATTTGTATGAATAACTCCAAGTTCAATGGGGAAAGGGGTGTTCTGACTTTTTTTGGTTTGGTTTGTTTGTTTAGGACTGTGGGCCAATTCTCAGCTGGTGTGTATTGGCATTGCTCCCTTGAAGTAAGTGCTGATTTACCAGCTGAGAATCTGTCCCATTGCCTGTTTCTCAAACACTTCTTCTTGGGTATTCATTCTCCAGGTGAAATAAATTCAGAAGAAGAATCTAGAATCCTAAACTGCGGTTGTGCTTTTATTGCCTCTGCCTGCTCTGCTAAAACCCACTGACCCTAAAACAGTTTAAGATTGGGTTTTCGACACCATTGCAGGTAACATGCTTTTGCCAATGGGTACTGATTTATGAGGAATGGGCCAGGCATTTAAAATTATTTCTGAAAACCCAGCTATGTATATTCAGTTGTTTAGAGCAATAAGCATATGCAGACCATAGAAGTGGTAACCATGTAAATTCAGTGGGTGAAGAATATGAACAAAGAACACAAAGTTGTAGAAGTTTCCTTTTTATGAAGCTAAAAATACAAGAAAAGTAGTCAGCCCCAGTACAGTTTGGGAAGCTGCATCACCTCGCTCTGGGTTTCATTTGCACACTATAAGTTTAGCAAGTATAATATTTTTCTAAATTGCTTTAGCTTCAGTTGTGACTACATTTTTTATCTTTTATAGTATATACTGGATAGAAGCAGAACCCCAGTCACAGTGGGTGCTGTAAAAAAGTAAACATTTACCACGCTCCAATATAAATGCCTCACTATAGCCTACATTTGAAGTACAAGAAATACTGAAGGTAATGCCACAGTGAAGTATTTGTTTACTTACTAATGGCACCCACTATATAACACCACACAGTGTTTGTAAGCATGAACATCGACACAGAGAGCCAGATTCTTAGCTGGTGTCAGTTAGTGAAGCTCCACGGGCTTTGATGGAGGTATGCTGTTTTACATCAGGTAAAGACTTGGATCATAAACCTATCTTCAGGACACACTAAAGAGATCAACAAAAATCACTTGCATAGTAGAAGTGATCCTTATCTGAAAGTAAAACAAAATTGCATCGGAAATCACACGGGAATACTTTTCAGTGGTCCCTTAAGAGCACGTTGTGGAGTGGAGTGGTGTTAGAGTATTTTATTTTTTATGTAGCCTAGAGTGAACACGTAAGACACCAGCTTGGCGAGTCAGGATGCCTCATTAATAGAATGGTTTTCTTAGAAGATTTGTAAAAGTTTGGCAAACTAAACCCGTGAGTCTACACGGCAGAAATGCCACTATAGAGTATATTCACCATATAATATTGTGTCTATTCTAGGCTGTCAGCAGGCAGAGTGGCTATTAATTAGTTATTATTAGAGCTGGTAGAAATTTTTCAGACAAAGTTTTTTCATTGAAAAATGACCTTTTCTTGAAAATGATTTTTTTCATGACAAAAATGAATGACTTTTTCAAATGTTTGCTTTTCACTCAACTTTTCATCCAGTTTTTTACTTCAATTATGATAAACAAATTGATTAAAATAATTGTGATAAACATTGAAAAAGTAAAAATGGGTCAGCTTCAAACCCCACTGAATGGAAACAACATGGACATTTTTGGTTGTGGTTCCCCCCTCTCCTCTCCTCTCCCAACCAGCTGAAAGTATAATTATTTATAAAGCACTCCCAGTGTGGTCATCTCTGAACAATCAAGCATCCAGATCCTCTGCTGGCCTGTGGTATTGAAGTCAATGGAGCTATGCTGATTTGTACCAGTTGAGGGTCTTCTCCTGGGTCTCTTCTTAAGGAGCTTGCAGCCTGTTTCAGATGCAGACAAACACTTCAGAAATGTCTAAAGTGCCAGAAGTCAGTTTGATGGGATGTCTTCAGGGAGAATTACATTGAAAAGATTAATGAAAGAGGCATATTTTCAGGAGAGATTTAAAGAATGGCAGGGAGCTTGCTTGGACTATGAGTAGTGGGAGCAAGTTACAAGGGTAGGGATGTGGTTGGGAGGCCAAGCATGGGGGGAAGCTGCAGTTGGGGATGAGAGCAATGTAGCCATTCCAATTTGGCGCAGAGAACAGGAATAGGGTCAATATCTTATATCGCCTCCATTTCATGCCTACACTACTTGACAATTACTGTTTAGCTCTGCATGTGAGAAAGAACCACAAAATCTTCTACATATGGTGAATTAACAACACACACACACACACAATGGTGATTGTAAAAGCAAGCTTAATTTTAATTCAAATTTTCAAAGTTAGTTACCATTCCTGAACACTTTTTACTCATACAAAAGGCTTCCTTGAAGACAGTGGAATTACTTGCATGAGTAAGGACTCTTCCTGTGAACAAGAGGGTACTGGACTGGGCCTTTAATTTTATTAAATACTGCTTTACCAAACATAGGAATTGTTCCTAAGCACACATTTAGTTATGCAAGCTAACCTCATGAACCAGTCTCCTAAAAAGTTGTGTTCTTAGAGATCAACCCATCTAGTTATTATTCCATCAAGATTTACATTGCATTCTCTGGGCATGTATAAGGTGCCAATATTTATGCTATAAAAAGCTGCCATACACAAACATGCATTTTTGTCTACAAGTTGCACCTGCACAAAACAAAAGAAAATACAAAATTAACACATGAAAGGACTGCAAATATAGCAACATCTTTCAACTGATTAAGGACCAGATTCTGCCACTCTTACTCACATTGAATGGTACCTTACTTGGTGAGCAGTTCCATTTATTATTACTTAACTAAATAAGTATATATTATCTGCCATTTACAAAGTCTTGTGGATATAGTAATCAAGAGATTTCAATCTTCTCCAATGCAGAAGAAGGAGTTGTTCAGGGACAACATTATACCCCAGTTTTTGGATAGGATCTTGGAATAATACCTAAGAGACCAGGGTTCTATTCCTGGCTCTGCTACTGGCAGTCACTTCACCTTTCTATGTCTCCATAAACTCTTCAGAAGGGGGACTGTTTCTTGCTATGTGTTTGCACAGTGCTATTTAAATATCATTCTCATAACTGGGATTTTCCCCTTTGGCTTAAGCAGGAGCAGAATCAGACACTAGAAGATAAGTTGAATAAAAGCTGACTTCTTGTGAGCAATATGTGTTTTTATTTAGTCTCTGGTATAACAGTACCAACACATGCTACATTCACTATCTGCCAAGATGCTGGTAAACAAGATGCACACAATTTATAAACATATATATTTCAATTTAACAATACATAAACAAAGCACTGATATTTTGACTGTGCTGTATTTTAATCTTGTGAGGGAGTGTAATCATTACTGCACTTTTTTCAACGTAAATGTCTTTGAAAAGTTTCACTTACTATTATGAAATACTGAAGATCTATAATACAATAAATACTCTTATTCATTCCTATCAATACATTTTCCCAAGATGTTGAATATATGACCTATTTTGGTCATAAATAGTTATAGAGTCAAACTTTTATTCAGCATTTCGGGGTAAGTGTGTTGATAGCAATGTATTCTACAGCCAATTTTAGAGTCCCTGAACACACTGCCATTTTAACAGTCTACCATCATATTTTCTACCTCCATATTTACATCCCCAAATGTACAAACAAAACAAAATTAATCAACAAGTGTGGCTGCAAATGCCTTTTATTTTTTCCTTAAAATACAAAAGTGGAGCCTGATCTTGCAAAGCCTTACTCAGGCAAGTAGTTCTTACTCATGTGAGTAGTCCTATTTGGATTGCCCGAAAGGGCAGCCCAACAGAGTCTGAAAGAAGGACTGTGGATTAGATCATCCAGCAACAAACTTATTTTCCTAGCACAATTTACACACACAACAACAATGCATTAGGTTTCTTTTTTATGGCAGCTTCTGGGAGTCTCTCCAGTAAGCAGAATATGGGCAAACGGAAGGGGACAGAGTGAAGACAGGAGTTAGAATCTTACCTGAGATTTTCCAAACTCTTTGATGTATAGGTGTTTTGAATGACAGCATAGTTCTCTGAAAACATCCCATCAATGTGCAGCAGCAGTCAAAAAAGGCGACAGAATGTAAGGAACCAATAGGAAAAGGATAGATTATAAAAGAAAGTATTATAATACCACTATATAAAACCATGGTATGCCCACACCTTGAATACTGTGTGCAGTTCTGTTGCCCTGTCTCAAAAACAATATTAGATATGGAAAAGGTACAGGTTTCAGAGTAGCAGCCGTGTTAGTCTGTATTCGCAAAAAGAAAAGGAGTACTTGTGGCACCTTAGAGACTAACCAATTTATTTGAGCAGAAGCTTTCGTGAGCTACAGCTCACTTCATCAGATGCATTCAGTAGAAAATACAGTGGGAAGATTTATATACACAAAGAACATGAAACAATGGGTGTTACCATACACACTGTAACGAGAGTGATCACTTAAGGTGAGCTATTACCAGCAGGAGAGCAGGGGGAGGGGAACCTTTTGTAGTGATAATCAAGGTGGGCCATTTCCAGCAGTTAACAAGAACGTCTGAGGAACAGTGGGGGGTGGGGGGGAGAAATAAACATGCGGAAATAGTTTTACTTTGTGTAATGACCCATCCACTCTCAGTCTCTATTCAAGCCTAAGTTAACTGTATCCAGTTTGCAAATTAACTCCAATTCAGCAGTCTCTCATTGGAGTCTGTTTTTGAAGTTTTTTTGTTGAAGAATTGCAACTTTTAGGTCTGTAATCGAGTGACCAAAGAGATTGAAGTGTTCTCTGACTGGTTTTTGAATGTTATAAATTCTTGACGTCTGATTTGTGTCCATTTATTCTTTTATGCAGAGACTGTCCAGTCTGACCAATGTACATGGCAGAGGGGCATTGCTGGCACATGATGGCATATATCACATTGGTAGATGTGCAGGTGAAAGAGCTTCTGATAGTGTGGCTGATGTGATTAGGCCCTATGATGTTGTCCCCTGAATAGGTATGTGGACACAGTTGGCAATGGGCTTTGTTGCAGGGATATGTTCCTGGGTTAGTGGTTCTGTTGTGTGGTGTGTGGTTGCTGGTGAGTATTTGCTTCAGGTTGGGGAGCTGTCTGTAAGCAAGGACTGGCCTGTCTTCCAAGATTTGTGAGAGTGATGGGTCGTCCTTCAGGATAGGTTGTAGATCCTTGATAATGCGTTGGAGAGATTTTAGTTGTGGGCTGAAGGTGACGGCTAGTGGCGTTCTGTTATTTTCTTTGTTGGGCCTGTCCTGTAGTAGGTGACTTCTGGGTACTCTTCTGGCTCTGTCAATCTGTTTCTTCACTTACAGAGAAGGGCAACAAAAATTATTAGCGGTATGAAACAGCTTCTGTATGAAAAGAGATTATAAAGACTGAGACTGTTCAGCTTAGAAAACAGACAATGAAGGGGGGATATGATAGAGGTCTATACAATTACAAATGGTATGGAGACAGAGAATTAGGAAGTGTTATTTACCCTTTAACATAAGAACTAGGGATCACCTGATGAAATTAATAGGCATCAGGTTTAAACAAAACAAAGGAAGTACTTCACAATGCACAGTACCCAGAGGATGTTGTGAAGGCAAAAACTATAACTCAATTAAAAAAGAATTAGCCAAGATGGTCAGGAATGCAACTCTATGCTGCAGATGTCTCTAAACTTCCAGAAACTGGGAGTGGACAACAGGGGATGGATCATTCAGTAATAATGCCCTGTTTTGTTCATTCCGGCACTGGCCACAGTCAGAAGACAGGATACTGAGCAAGATGGACCTTTGGTTGACCCAGTATGGCCATTCTTATTCAAAAATGTCTCTTTTTGCTTAAGATATGTCTGCTGTACCATACTTATAACCTGAATCCTGCCTGAAATTTATTGTTGGGCAATATTCCATTGATTTTAAACCAGAATTCCAGGTGTGATTTCCTCCATTTAATACCCATTTTGGGGGTGGGGGGGGTTACACTTTTTAGTAGCCTTTCTAGCTCCTCTGCAGCAATGATAATACACTACTAAATAAACTGCAAAGAACTGAAAGAGTACAAAACTACAGGCTTCTAAAGAGAAAAGGATCATGTTAAAGCCATGGGCCAGATTCACCGGCGTGGTATGCCCACTATGCATTGCACTACTGGCATAACTGGCCCATAGAGGGTCACCTTTGAAAGAGTGATCCTCAAGTGGCATAGAGTCAGCAAACTACATTCTCCCTCTGTATTATCAGAGCAGCAAGGAGAAAGGGGATGTGGTTGGGACACCCTTATGCTATATGTGGATGTCTGGCTGTGTCTTCAGCCCTGGGCCTTTTGCAGCCCGTGACTGGGGTACCAGCCCTTTCACAGAGCTGCTGTAGTATCAGTGAAGTGCAAAGGTTACTTTTAAGCTACCTTTGCATACAACCCCCTTACCTATGCTCTGTGCAGCTAAATTGGACTGCAGAATCAGGCTCTTTAGCTTTATGTAACATGGTACCCATAATAAATACCTTCTCAGAACACTAACAGTGAGGTTAAATTATGCCTCAATATTTTATACTGAAATATGCATGACAAATAAATCTAGTCAACTCATGTTCTATTTATAAAAATAGTAAAAAAAATATAGTTTTATGCCCCTAAAGTATGTACCGTCAGCTCCTGATGATCTCAAACAGCTTTATAGACTGTGATCACTGTCACTTTCCCTTCTCACATTTACAGGACTAGGAAATAATGAGCAACTGCTGAACACATTGACAGGTTTCAGAGTAGCAGCCGTGTTAGTCTGTATCCACAAAAAGAAAAGGAGGACTTGTGGCACCTTAGAGACTAACATTATTATTATTATGCTCAAATAAATGTATTAGTCTCTAAGGTGCCACAAGTCCTCCTTTTCTTTTTCCTGAATACATTGTAGATGGCAAAGAAAAATACTAGTTCAGTGGTAATGAAAATTCTTTGAGAGCTAATCAATTTGAGAACAAACAGAACACAACCTTATACAGTATCAAAACATAGAAACAACCTTCATTTCAGAGTTTAGATGTCACCTGTCTGTTACATTTTGGAAATGTAGACGTGTACCATTATCTAATAGATGAATGTATCAGTAATGTACCCCACAAGCTACATTTACTCCATAGCTTTTCTGAAGCACCCAATTGTATTGTTTTTTTCCAACACAATGAGTCTGAATCAGCAGTAAATGTCAGCAGTTGTCTTCTGGCACAAACAAGCCAAAAATAACTAGGGCCAGATCCTCATCTGTTGTAAATCACGGATTCACATCCACTGAGGATCTGGCCCCTGGAGTTCTAGAGAGGAGAAGGACCTCTCTGGGTTGGGTCTGGTTTGGATTTCAGGCAATGAGAATTTGCTTTGGCTGCTTTACATTTCAGTATGCCTGGTACCATGCATAAAAACCCTGGAAGGACAAACCAAACACACTGGGCTCCAGAGCCCAGCTGGGATGGCAGTCACAGACTCCCTTCCCATCTGCTCACAAAAGGGATCAGCAACAAGGAATAATACCTGAACTGGAACTCTATCCCCTAGAAATCCAGTTTCCAGGAACCTTTGAAGTGGGAGAGAGCAAACATCTTGTAGCAGGTTTGGGAACAGAGCTGTAAGAATCGTATTTCTCATAAAGCTGAATTCTAGTTATGTTCAAAATTTAGAGGCACACTGTAAAATTAAAGCTGCTTCAGAGATACTTTGAAATAATGTTCTATATAGTCTAAAACACAACTCTCCCACAGAATTCCTTAACAATGACATTGGCATTTTCAGTGACAGTGACTTTCAAACATTTGGCAATGGCCAATAAGTTTGGAACATTTTTTTGTTGGTCAGTCCACTGATAAACAAAACAGAGTGCATCATTTGAAAAGCTTATTTCATCAGTCCTGTTTTTAAAACAGTTTTCAACCTAAGTTCCGTTTTGCTTTGTGATGGTCATGTAAATCCATAGAATCATAGAATAACAGGGTTGGAAGGGACCTCAGGAGGTCATCTAGTCCAAACCCCTGCTCAAAGCAGGACCAATCCCCAGTTTTTGCTCCAGATCCCTAAATGGCCACCTCAAGGATTGAACTCACAACCCTGGGTTTAGCAGGCCAATGCTCAACCCACTGAGCTATCCCTTCCCCCACTGATTATGATCAATTACCTCAGTAGATTCATCCTGTTATCTCTGGAGCCAGCATTACTGACTCAGAAAATATCCTGCATATGTTAACTGAAGAACTTTCCTCATTTGTATCTAACTTTGCTTTAGAGCTGTATAAACCACAGTTTTTACCCTAATAAAATATGAGAGAAAAATCTAGTTGAAAGATGTCTTGTTTCTTTCATTGTATTGGGAAAATATATCTTCAAGAGTGTAGCATGTGCAGTCACATCTCTTTTAGCCATGACTGTGCTGCATACCAAAGCTTGATGGCACTTGTCATCTATTTGCCTCAGTGGCCAATATTTCTACATCCTTTTGGTCTAAATCTCCAGACACAGAATAAGCTGTTGCTCCATTTGTCCAGATCTGCTGTTTTGTGTCAGTATCTCTGGTAAGAGACCTCAGCTGTGTCCTTTTGATTTTCTTTGCTAGTCTAGCAAAGCACAGTAACATTGAACTGAATATCATGGAAAATCCACACAGAATGAATGATGCAGTGTAGCTGCCGGTTGTATCCACCAGCCAACCTATTGGAAAACAAATAATTGTTAAGGTATTTAATACTTTACAAACTCCTTGTACTGTACAGCATTCGTACTGCAATTCTATCACATACACCAGTGACTAAGTGACAGGCATATATAGCTGACACATCAGTTAAAATACATTTTGCCTCCAGGGAAAGAAAACAAATATCTTGCATAATGATCTCATCACACTTAGCTCAAGTTTTTAGAAGCTTTTGTTCAGAACATAACCCCATCACAAAAGGACACTGTAGTTTTCCCTACAATCCTATACAAACATCCTCTAAAAGCATTGATTTAGCTGACAGTCTGCAAATGCGCTCAGAGCCATCATGGGAGTAAATGCTATTCTGTGCATGAGTTCCCTACCCAGAAACTTTGCCTGCGTTTGTGTATCACTTGAAATGTTCAATTAATATTTTTGCTGTGACAAATCAAATTAAAAAGCATCAAAAGCAGAGGTGAGTTTGAACTTGGAGTAAACAGCAAATACAAACTGAAAGACACATGCTGTACTATGTACGAAGACTGTATTATGGCTATTCAAGAAAGGTGATATGAATCGCTGATCTTCCCACATCACTCAAAATGGATATAAATCCTTTCTGTGGAATGATCAGAACAGCATTGTCCTAATCACTACTTCATTTTTCAAGCCAGAAATTTAAACTAAACTGGCAAGAATCATGGGGTTCAGATATCATGGTGATGATGATGGCTACTTAAGAACCTGAATAGAATTGAATAGACTATTGCCAGCCCACACTAAAGAAATTCAACAGTAAACCCCACTGCCTAATCCATGACACATTTCTGAAATGGATGGGTAAAGCTCTCTGGATCCTAAAGTTATAAAAGAACATCCTTTGATTAAAACTCAAGGGTTATTTAATTTCACAGCAAAAGATACATTTTTGCACTTTTTATATTGCTGAACTACATGAAACAATTAAATAACAATGTGCTGCATTATATCATTGTATGCCCCTGAATTTCAGTTTGTTTTTAGTGTGCAGAATTGACTCCATCAAAATAGGGCTTAAGTGGGACCCAAGTGGTGTGTAGGTCATGCATTGGCCCTCTGCTCAGGGCTCAAGTAGACTCAAATGCTATTTGTTTATTTTCCTTTCTCTTTTCCATCACTTAGTGCTAAGGCCCACATGAATTTTACATAGAATTTAGAAAACAACTAATCCACAGGGATCGTTTCCTCACCAACACAATGAAAACATCAGAGAGAGTTTACTTTGATCAGTCACAAGGGAAGAACACATTGGGACTGTTAATAATATTTGAAAATGTTATAAAAATACACAAACTGAAAAGCAAAGTCATACTAAGGTGTTTGCTCTTAACTACCATGGGCGGTACATACCATAGGCTGGGGAAGACTATGCCTCCCCAAACAGCCCCGCCCATGTCCGCCCTCAGGCCCCCTTCTGCTTGCCGCTAGTTGGCCCTAGCCCAGGCAGGCTGCTCCTCTTCCAGGAAGCTGGCTGTGGCTAGGGCAGCCAACCTGTGGCCAGGATTCAGCGGTGGCTGGGGCCACCCAGCTTGGGGGGACCCCCAGCTCTGGGGCTGCACTGCCCGGCGCTCCAGGGCTGGGGGTGCTTGTCAGCGCTCCGGGCAGAGGGGGAGCACATGCTACCCACCCAGCGCTCTGGAGCTGGAGGCGCTCAGGCAGCCGTGGCTTGCGGGGGAGGTTCTGGGCTTCGGCGGGGGTAGGACAGGTGGGGTCTCAGACAGAACGGGTGGGCTGGGCTAGGGGCTAGCCTCCCTGAACCCATGGCTCACCCACCGCCCATGTTAACTACTAATCTCCCCTATTCTCTTCTGGCTTTGTTACCTCCTTACCAATATTGGAGGAGGACTTTTGTTTTTAATATGGGCCAGATGCTCTCATCTGCTCCAAGTGTTTTCTTTTCTCACCAAAATTTGTCATGGGCATCTGTATGGTGGGAGGATCCCGGAGCTTGGGCTGCAGCCTGAGTCTAAACATCTACAGAGCAATTAAATAGTCCCTTAGTCTGAGCCCCACAAGCCCAAATCAGCTGGCATGTGTAGAGGGCTATGTTGCCAGGGCTGAGAAGGGGATGCACCCTGCATGGATGCCCTGACCTCCACAGGATTCATATCAGGATTGTCTGTGGCTCTTCATGCCATTTGGGTGAATGTGATCATGAAATGATGGATTACATGATTCTAAGGAAAGGAAGGAGGGAGAGCAGCAGAATAAGGACAATGGACTTCACAAAAGCAGACTTTAACAAACTCAGAGAACTGATAGGTAAGGTCCCATGGGAAGAAAATCTAAGAAGAAAAGGAGTTCAGGAAATCTGGCAGTTTCTCAAAGAATTAATATTAAAGGCACAATAGCTAACTATCCCAATGCAAAGGAAAGACAGCAAGAGGCCAATATGGTTCTAACAGGAGCTCTTCAGTGACCTGAATATCAACTAGGTATCCTACTAAAAGTGGAAACATAGACAACTTGCTAAGGAGGGATACAAAAGAATAGCAAAGGCATATAGGGACTATATCAGAAAAGCTAAGGCACAAAATGAGTTACATCTAGCGAGGGACATAAAAGGCAATAGAAAGAGGTTCTATAATATATTAGGAACAAGAAAAAGATGAATGAAAGTGTAGGTTCTCTACTTAATGGGGAAGGTGAGCTAATAATAGATGACTTCAAGAAGGCTGATATGTTTAATGCCTATCTTGCTTCAATCTTCAATAAAAAGGCAAACTGTGACCAGATACTTACCACAATAAATATTAACAAACAGGTGGAAGGAACACAAAGCAAAACAGGAAAAGATCAGGTTAAAGAAGATTTAGATTTAAATTTGGCTAAATGTAAACGAATACATCTAGGAACAAAGAATTTAGGCCATACTTACACGATGGGGGAGTCTATCCTGGGAAACTGTGACTCTGAAAAAAAATTAGGGCTCATGGTAGATAATCAGCTGAACATGAACTCCCTGAGTGACGTTGTAACCAAAAGAGCTAATGCAATCCTTGGATGCAGAAACAGACGAATCTCGAGTAGTAGTGAAGAGGTTTTTTTACCTCTGTATTTGGCACTGGTGTGACCACAGCTGAAATATTGTGTCCAATTCTGGTGTCCACAATTCAAGAAAGATATTGATAAATTGGAGAGGGATCAGAGAAGAGCCATGAGAACGATTAACAGATTAGAAAACTTGCTTTATAGAGACAGATTCAAGAAGCTCTATCTATTTAGTTTAACAAAGAGAAGGTTAAGGGTTGACTTGATTACAGTTTACAAGTATTAGAGTAGCAGCCGTGTTAGTCTGTATTCGCAAAAAGAAAAGGAGTACTAGTGACACCTTAGAGACTAACCAATTTATTTGAGCATAAGCTTTCGTGAGCTACAGCTCACTTCATCAGAATGCATCCGATGAAGTGAGCTGTAGCTCACAAAAGCTTATGCTCAAATAAATTGGTTAGTCTCTAAGGTGCCACTAGTACTCCTTTTCAGTTTACAAGTACTTACACATGGAAAAAATTTTTGATAATGGGTTCTTCAATCCAAGAGAAAAAAATATAACAGGATCCAATGGCTGGAAGCTGACATTAGACATAATCAGACAGGAAATAATTTTTTTATGGTAAGGGTAATTAATCATTGGAACAACTTATTAAGTGTTGTGGCAGATTCTCCACCACTGGCAATTTTAAAATCAAGATTGGATGTTTTTTCTAAAAGATATGGTCTAGGAATTATTTTGGGGAAATTCTATGGTTTGTGTTATACAGGAAGTCAGACTAGATAATTATAATGATCCCTTCTGGCCTTGGAATCTATGAATCTAGATAAATTAGATATATTCAAGTTAGCAGGGCCTGATGAAATTCATCCTAGGGTACTTAAGGAACCATCTGAAACAATCTCAGAACTATTAGCAATTACCTTTGAGAACTCATGGAGGATGGGTGAGGTCACAGAAGACTGGAGAAGCGCAAACATAGTACCTATCTTTTAAAAAGGGGAACAAAGAGGACCTGGGAATTATAGGTACCCAGAAATACACTAGAGCAAATTATAAAACAATCAATTTGGAAGCACCTAGGAGATAACAGGATTATAAGGAATAGCCAACATGAATTTGTCAAGAATAAATCATGCCAAATCAATCAATCTTCTTTGACGGGGCTAATGGCCTAGTGGATGGGGGGAAGCTGTAGGTGTGATATATGTTGATTTTAGCACGGCTTTTGACATAGTCCCACATGACATTCTCATAAGCACACTAGGGATATGTGGTCTAGATTAAATTACTATAAAGTGGGTGCAAAACTGGTTGAAAGACCGTAATCAAAGAGTAGTTATAAATGGTTCTTGTCAAACTAGTGGGGTCCTTGTCCTGTGTCCAATACTATTAAATATTTTCATTAATGACATGGATAATACAGTGGAGAGTATGCTTATAAAATTTGCAGATGACACCAAGCTGGAAGGGGCTGCAAGCAAGGACAGGACTAGAATTTGAAACTACTTTAATAAATTGGAGAATTGGTCTGATTTCAACAAGATTAAAGTCAATAAAGACAAGTGCAAAGTACTACACTTAAGAAGGCAAAATCAAAGGCACAGGTACAAAATAGGGAATAACTAGCTAGGCACTAATACTGCTGGAAAGGATTTGAGGGTTACAGTGGATGACAAATTGAATGAGAGTGAACAATGTTTTGCATTTGTGAAAAAGGCTAATATGATCCTGGAGTGTATTAACAGGAGTGTTGTATGTAAGACATAGGAGGTAAATGTCCTGCTCTAATGAGCACTGGTAAGCCCTCAGCTGGAGGGGTCCACACTTTAAGAAAGATGTGGAGAAATTGGAGTAAGTCCAGAGGTGAGCAACAAAAATGATAAAAGTTTTAAAAAAATTAGACCTGCGAGGAAAGGTTAAAAAAACTGGGCATGTTTAGTTTTGAAGGGAAAAAAAAGATGGGGGGGGGGTGGTTCTGATACCAGTCCTCAAATATGTTAAGGGCCTTTATAAAGAGGCCAGTGATCAATTGCTCTCCATGTCCACTGAGGGTAGGACCAAAAGTAATGGGCTTAATCTGCAGCAAGGGAGATTTAGGTTAGAGATTAGGAAAACATTTCTAACTATATGTATAGTTAAGCACTGGAAAAGGCTTCCAAGGGAGGCTGTGGAATAATCCTCATGATTGGAGGTTTTAAGAACAGGTTGGTCAAACACCTGTCAGGGATGATCTAGGTTTATATGGTCCTCAGCACAGGGGGCTGGACTAGATGACCTCGGGAGGTCCCTTCCAACCCTACATTTCTATGATTTTAGGCTGTTTTATTTTCATCCTTTAATGTGTTTTTCCACAAAAGTGAGTAATTTTGATGGCTAGAAGTTAGAGATGGGCAACATTTTCCAGAACTTGATTTTTCAATGACATTTTCCGTCAGTGTTTGAAATTTCTATGAAATATATAGAACAAAATTTCTGCACAAAATTACTTCCCATATCTGACCAGCTCTAGATAAATAATAAATCATTCTGCTTTCGTCAGACGGTAAAGCTGGAGTAACAGTATGAACAGGACAGTAGAGTCATCTGTGAACTGACCTGCAACAGGTGGACTCACTAGATAAGGGAATGCATGAAGAAAATAAACTACTCCTAGGGCTGATGATAAGGAAGCAGTTCCCACTACATCTGCTGTCACGACAGGGATCATTGTAACGTAGGCTCCATCAAAATACCCAAAGGTAAATGAGAATGGCACAAGCATGGGGAAACTTTGGAGAACGGGAAGGAAGAGACAACAGAGGCCATCCATTCCCACAGCAAAGAGGTAGCAAAAATAGCGGTACTTCTTCAGACACCTGTGGATTTTAAAAAGAGGAAGGATAAGTCAATCATGTGTACTTCCTCTTTGTTTCTGTTCACTTCCAGACCTATTAGTTTACCATATACAATTAACATACGGTTGTGGCCTGGGATATTCTCTGTTTTAACCTGTTCCCTGTCTTTTCTATGCTGCACAGTTTTAATGTCCAGCTTCACAAACAGCTTTCCAAGTGCAAAACCCAGCCAGTGGTGGCTCTAACACTGTGCTGGACTGACAAACCTGGAGAGTGAAGTTCTCTATCTATCCATAAAACACACATTAGGGACAGCAGTGCAAGCTTCCCTATGCTATGAATGTGCCTCAGTTTTCTTGGGGACCACCCTTGATGGGGTGAGGGTAGTTCAACGTCCAGGCCCATTCAACCCTTGGTCTTGGTTTTAAAACTTTGTCTGAATAACGTATACTCTTCTGTATTTATATCTAAGCTCACTATAACTGTTCCTAATATTTTGCAGAAATAAGACAAATGATCTTATTCCCTCTTCTCACTTTTACTGGTATAAATCAGGACTGATGCAATGGAATTAAAAGTGGTGTAAGTGAGAGAAGAATCAAAGCCACAATTCGCATTGACTCAAATATCCAATGCACTGAATGAGTATGACAACTGAAAGAATAAGTATGTCGACCTTTAGAATAGCCTACTGCCACACTCACTTGATCTTCATCACCAGTGTTATAAAGATTGCATGCAACAAAATGTCACAATGGAGTAAAGGTAGCAAAACACGGCTAAGCACTAAAACGTCCGGAAATGCAGAAGTTAGAAATCACATACAACCTTAATTCTGCCATTTTGTGTTTATGCATTACAATACAGTGCCAGATCCTTCATCCCTTTTTTGCCACGACAGCAGCACAAATGAGACAGAAAGGCAGAAGTAGTAGACTCACATCCTCTACTGATCAGGTACAAAGGGTAAAGCTTAATATACACTGAACAGTGAGTTACATTTACACTACAGACAATGGCAACTTTGGGCAAATGTTATTCCTTTCTAAAAATGAAAATTAAAAGTATAAGTTAACTCAAAGATGAAAACTAAGGTAAAAAATTAGCATTTCTGAAAGTGGTATAAATACCATAAATTGAGCTGATCTATTGGAAAAACACTACAAGCCATTGTAATGTCCTCAAAATGTACATTAGCAAGCATTACACCTGGCTATCCCACATGCAAAGGCTTATAACTAGTTTGTGGTCTGTCATTACCTTCTGTCTGTCAACCATCCAAAGGTGATATTACCAACGATATCGATGACACCAAGTATGGACATAAGGAAGGCAGCCTGCTGATGATTCACACCAACGCTCAAAGCATAAGGCACTAGGTAGACAAAAAGAGGGCTACAGCCATATGCCATAAATAAAACAGACACTGCTAGCATCATGAAGTCTGGCATCAGTAAGAAGTTGTATTCTTGCCAGGAGCAGCAGCACAGACATTCATGGGACCATGGTTTGATTAAAGGTGAACAGATGGACAATTGCTTTAAATCTTGCTTCTGTGCTTCTGAGACATACTCCTGTTCAAGAAACTCAGGAGGGTGTTTATGGTCCTCCTTAAGAGTAATAGGCCTCATCAGGGCACCACAGACACAGAGATTTAAAACAAAACCGCCCAGGATGAGTAAGGCTCCACGCCAAGAAAATTGTTCAATCAAGAGTTGGACCACAGGGGCCAGAATGAAGGTACCGATTCCACTCCCTGACATGGCTATCCCATAAGCCAGTGCTTTCTTTTTGTTGAAATATTTTCCCACCATTGCTATGGCTGGAGAATAACAAAGTGCAAATCCAAGTCCTAGGGAAAAAAGCAGAATGAAGGTTGTTTAATACTGAATACAAGTAACAGGATACATTAAATTAAACCAAGTAACCTACTCCGATCAGCAGGAATAATCAAGAGGCCCTTTGTGGATTATCACATTTTGCAATTCAGTGAATATGGGATAAAAACATGAAGAAAAAAACAGGGATACTGAGTCAAACAAATATCGTTGAACCTCACTAATCTGTACTAATGCAGAGGCTCAGTGAGGATTGACGAGCTTTGTGTATGAACATGTACTCAGATTAGATAGGAGCACAGCATCATTGGCCAGTTATTAGTAGTCTGGCCCTGTACCCAGTCATCACTGAGTGCCAGGGGACGGAGGGAGCTCCCATTTAGATAGCGGGATCATTGCATCAGGCACATTGGTCCTAAGATCATTGCTCAGTGTTACACTCAGCTACAAACCCAAATATCTATTTTCAGGGCAGATTTGTGTGTTTGCAGATCTCTGAATGGTGGCATAGAGAATTTCTCTCTACTGTAAAATGTTCTACGGGAAACTTTCTTTGACAAAGACGAAGAAATTCTGCATTTGAACTGGCCGGAGCTCTGTGCATTTTAAATCCCCTGGGAAAGTCCTTATTCAAGATGCTGTGACCACTTTCAGAACCGAGGTTAAAAAGGCTCGGAACAAGATGCCTTTCCTATTTAGTAGATTAATTAGATTCATCTAGACAGGGAACAATTTCATGGATTTTGCTACAGAGCTTCAAGGACTGATGCAGAAGAATCAGACATTAGCATCAGTGCTGGCATTTGATTTCTGAATCAGACACAGAAATTTATTCCAGGCTGGCATTTTGAAATAAATTGCACCCTCAGTTACACAGGTACCTCTCCCATTGCCTTTGGCAGAAAGCACTAGCTTGGGAGAGTCTCAGGATGTAGCAGGCTATCAGTGTTGGCCTGAAACACTCCATCCTGCTAACAGGTGCTGACTCTGCTGGGAGAGGGCTGAATGGATTAAATTGACACACTGAGACCAGCAGCTTGTTACCTCACCCAGACAAAAAAGAGATGAAGAGTATCTAGCGTGTCTTGAGGCAGGACCTGTGGCTTTTGGGGGGAAGGTTTAAATTGAACTTTATGTTCTCTTATTGTTTATTTCTTTGTGAACAAAGCCAAACCCCAGGAAGGGCAGTGAATTTTGACACTACAAAGCTAGTGTTGTTCTCAACTGCCCTCTAGATTACAGGTCAGCTCGCTGCATCAGGACTACCAGCCTTTTACTATTAGTTCATTTCTTCCCTACTTACTCCCTGCAAACTAAATTCACTGCTTGTGAAATGGACTGTCTACAACTTAATGTACAATGCTTCATTGCTTCTCTTCCTCAATATTCATAACAGCTGTCATAAAGGAAGCCTCAGGGGCAGTAGCAGGGTATGTGACATGGTGCTGTGTGTTACAAGGGACCTTTTTATTTGTTACAAACACATTGGACAAAGATTAACATTGTAATGCAGGAGCAACACACACTGTAACAAGGAATTTTTTTTTCTTAGCAAATAAGCTGTTGGCAGCACACAAAGTATAGTAATTCTACCAACTTGCTACTCAACGGCAGGGGACCAAGTACAAGGCTTATATCACCGTGGCTACCGTGGCAGTTTTAATGAGGCAGGAATTTCAGTATAACTATTGCAACCTCTCCCTCTTTTTAGCGTACAAGCAACTATAAAAAAACAGGACAGACTGAGAGTATTCTTTTAACACAGTGGCTGAATTCAAAGGGAGGATGCATTAGGATAATGCATTCAACAGAGGATTTGTGCTTATAAACTGAATGTAGAGCAGGCAGAAATAAGCCATGCAATGGTGACTTAAGAAACTGATACAATGACTCTCTCAAAGCTTTGTGTGTCTTGACCAATAATTTATATTACAACAAAACTCCAAAAGCATTAAACCAAAAGGAACCCTGTCAGCCAGTAACCTACCAACAAACAATCCTCTTTCCCATCCTCTTATCATCTGGGAAGTTTACCCTCAGCCACACAACTGTTGAACAGATGACTTTTGCTGTTTGCTAGGCAGGTCACCAAAACTGGGGCTATTTCAGATCAGGAGCCAATACCAGGGGCCTGGAGCCCTCCCACATAATGCTCTGCAAGCAGGTTATTCTTTCATAACAAGGGGGTTCCAGCTTGAGAGCCTCTGCTGACTGCAGCTGGGGCAGTGTCATTGGGACAGTGGTGGTCCCTCTAATAATGTTAAGGTAATGGCTGGGGCAAACATCATGAACCCCTCCTACCTGTAAGTACTCCTAATGAAAAGTAGAGGTGTTCCAGGCTTGTGGCAAATGAACTCAGGATCAGTCCAGCAGATGCAAGCAGTCCTCCGAGCATGATGCCCACTTGACATGATAGATGGTTACTGATAAAACTTCCAAGTGGGGCTTCAAAAATAATGAATGCAGATAGTGAATGAATTCAGTGTGTATTCACATGCACTTCATCACCGGAGTCAAGGCCTGGGAACAAAATTCAGCACCAAGACCAGACAAACAAGAGAAAAACACTGATCTGCTGCTGCAGCTAATTGAAGTGACATTTCAGATTCACATACATCATGTCATGGTGTTTGTGGCCTCCTCAAAAACCCTTTCAAAATGGTTGTTTTCTATTTTCCATAAAATCAGGTCAACGGCTATTTTAAATCAGGCAATACCATTATAAGACAAAGCTGTTATTCAATTAATGGGGTCAAAGGAGGCAAAGACAATGACCAGCTTAGGAGCATTTTGTTCATTACCCTATCATTACAGCAGCAATAAACCTGCTACCTCTGGAATTTGTCCTGCTACTCTATGAAAAGATGCCCCTTCTGCCTCATCAATGAAGAGCTTAGAACCTATAAAGCGCAGAAATGATCTCCTTCTCTGGTAGGAATAGGCTGACCCACCAATATTAAAAGTTAAAATCCCTGCCCACACAAAGAGCAGTGTGGAGTGCCAAAGTCCAGTTTCACCCACGGGAAATACAAATCCTAGAAACCTTTGGGCTCTTCTCTCTGCCTTCTTAAAATTCCCTTAGAGTTTCAGGCGGCAAACTTTGTCCTCACATCTTTGCCTATAAGATGTGGCGTAGTTGGTGCTGAGGTGACGGCAACATTTTAGGCCCCAATCCTGGAATGCAATGAATATGGGCAGACCACTCTACCTGCAGTATGACGTGTGCAGGATCAGACCCTAAGTTTCCACAGTACTTTGCAGACCGTTAAATGATATCCATGAGAAGTTAAGTATAACTCCAGAACAGAACAGGTGTCCTAGGGCAGTGGTTTTCAAACTTGTTTTCTGGCGACCCAGCTGAAGAAAATTGTTGATGTCCATGACCCAATGGAGCTGGGGATGAGGGGTTTGGGGTGTGAGAGGGGCTCAGGGCTGGGACAGAGGGTTAGGGTGAGGGGGTGAGGGATGTGGGGTGGGGCCGGAAATGAGGGGTTCAGGGTGTGGGAGGGGGCTCTGGGCTGGGGCAGGGGCGCTGGAGGGGGTCAGGGCTATGGATGCAGGCTCTGGAGTGGGGCCGGAGATGAGGAGTTTGGGGTGCAGGAGGGGGTCAGGGTTCTGGGCTGGGGGTGCAGGCTTTGGGGTTGAGCCAGGGATGAGGGTTTTGGGGTGCAGGAGGGGGCTCTGGGTTTGAGGGAGGGGCTGAGAGCTGGGGCGAGGATTGGAGCGTGGGGTTGGGGTGTGGGCTTACCTCCGGCAGCTCCCAGTCAGCAGCAGAGCTGGGTTCAGAGACAGGCTTCCTGCCTGTCCTAGCACCGTGGACTGTGCTGCGCCCCGGAAGTGGCCAGCAGCAGGTCCGGTTCCTAGGTGGAGGTAAGCAAGCGGCTCCGTGCGGCTCTTGCCCGCAGGCACCGTCCCCCCCCACCCCAACCCCCATTGAGTGCAGAGCCAGTGCTCAGGGCGAAGGCAGTGCATGGAGCTCTGTGGTCCCGCCACGTAGGAGCCGGACCTGCTGCTGGCTGCTTCCAGGACACAGTGCAGTGTCGGAACAGATAGGAACTAGCCTGCCTTAGCCAGGCAGCACCACCCATGTGACTTTGAATGGCCCAGCTGGTGGTGCAGACCAGAGCCGCTGCAACCCAGTGCCTTCAATTCTGCGACCCAGTACTGGGTCACAACCCACAGTTTGAAACCACTGTTCTAGAGGATGTTTCATAAAGAAAACACAAAGGACATTTGCTCACAAAAAAGTTCAGTGAAGGGATGCGATGGTTGTGACTTGAACCAAAGGAACTAGGAAACACACAGTCAAGTCTGAAATATAATTGCAATATAGTAGGCAAAACAAGTCCCAGTGGAATTCCTCTTAAACCGTGACCCTTCCCATTAGGTTTTTTTCGCTAAAACATTTCTTAAAACACACATCACGTGACAATAAAATGCTCTGTTTCTTTTCAGTATCAGACAAAATTGTACAAAAAAAGCCCCCTTCTTGCCAAACTGTGCTGCAGGACACAGCTTGGACATACTATACCCATTTGGCTACAAAGCCAGGATGTGCTGGACAAAAGTCATTAGCCAGCCTGAAGCCAGAAATTTTCCACATTGGCTCAGATGACTTGTGAATACACTAATATCAGGTATCCCACAGGACTAAAGAACAAACCAGTTTATTACTCAGAGAGTGCAATACCCACCACACAGCATCGTGGCACAGTCTGTAATGGAATGGATCCAAGCTGTTCGGGCATAATCCTGAGCAAAGTATGTCTGGAACTCCACAAAGAAAATTGAGATACATCTAGAAAAGAAAACATGAACACTGATCTGTTAAATTCAGGGATAAAGGGCATCTGGTTTGGGTCTGTTCCAAATCCTATGAAAGTCAATGCAAAGATTCCTGTTGACTTCCAAGGGAAATGAATTGGGTCATTAAACATCTGCAAAATGGAGACCGAAATGAGAGACTATCTGGATGCACAGGAAATAATGACAAATGACAATGTGGCACATGGGATGGATAGTTCCTACAGTAGTGCATGTGCCTGGCTTATATCTATCTAATTGAATCAGAGAAGAACAAATGAGACAATGACAAATGAGACACAGGATGGTCACCAAGTATGACCCTAGTAGTGGGATTAGACAGATCAGTTTAATCCAGCAAGAACCAGGAAGACATTTCCTTCCACAAGGACAGCCAATCTTTAAAAGAGCAGACAATTATCTTGCCTTTTTTTATTTTAACCTCCCATAAACTATTTTCCTATTCCTACATTGTTGTTACTCTCTTCAAGGACTAATATATATTAGTCAGATGACTTCTGGACCATCAGAAATCACTTAGGACACAAAGAAGGCCCTGTCATTCCTGTCTATCATGCTGTTTGCCAGAGTGGCTTTCACTTTTTCACTAGGATAGGTTGTTGGCCTATCATTCAACCTGTGATACTTCCCATGGACATCCAGAGCCATGAGGCACCTCGCTATCATCAGCCCTTAGCATGAGGAAGCCTTGTCTGTGTCTGCCATATGTCAGCTCCCTGGCTGCACCAGCCACAGGCAACACAAGAACTCCCTTATGCAGGCCCTGCTCTCTCTACAAATTAGCGATAGGCACATTCCAACCCCCAAGCATCTCCCTGGAATGTTCAGCCCCTGGTCCACCAGACAGTTGCAGTATTCACAGAATTGCTGCTTCCACAGAAGCAGTACACCCCAAATTACCAATTACATCTCCGATCTTAACACACAGCACTTAGGTATGTTTATAGTGAAAACAGTAAAAGTTTATTTAATAAAATATAGAGGTTCAAGTGATAACAAGAAGTAGTATTGGAAACAAATGGTTACATATAAATTAAAACCATAGCATGCATTCTAGAACTTAGAGTTATTTTCATATCTTAGAGTAATACTTATCCAAAATCCTTCCCGTGTATTAAATGAGGCTTGGCTGTGATCTTCCATTCATCAGACAAGTCATGCTGGCAGCTTGTCTCCTCAGTGAAAGATCCAGGGTGTCTGTTTGCATTCCCAGATAGATCAGAATAATTCTTTGTCCATATTTATAAACAGGATACCATCTGCTGTATACTACTTTATTGTAGACTTTGCAATTTCTTAATCAGCATCTGGCTCAGTATGCAAATAGGCCTCCGTTGAGATACACACACAACACATAACAACCAGGCAGGGAAATAAGCGCCTGTTACCCGCTTCCTGAAAGGAAGCCATCCAAGACATGTCGCCTCCTGGTTATCTGCCTTAAGAATCTCATTTTCAGTATAAACATATAACTCCTTAAACATGATCTGTGCATACATTTTGCAGTGATTATGGTGGACCAGTGGGCTACTGGCTCTCAGTAAAAACTTCATATGCCAACCTTTACTGAATTATTAGGCATATATTTGACCTGGCAATCCCTGTAAAACTCTATGCACCTCTTGTGCTCTCAGTCAGTTGGCACCAAGACATTTCTCAAGGATGGGATGTTGGCTTGTCATTCTCCCCTGCAACCTGGAGGACCTAGGGATTGCTTTTCTGTCTGGCCCCTATTCTTTGACCTATCCAGCTTGGGTGACTCCGCCAGAAGTTAAAACTTCTGCTGACATAGTTCTCAGGGTCATTGGAATGCAGAGGCTTTCCCACCACATCAAGGATACTCTTCTCCTTCCCTGGGGACCGCACCTGAATGTGGTGGGAATGTTTGCATATGACCCTGAGAGCTATGCTAGAGGGAGCTTTAAGTCCTGGCAAGGCCACCCAAGCAGGACAGGTAGGGAGGGACCAGATGAAAAGTAGTCTACTGGTCCTCCAGGCGGGAGATTGGGGGTGGTGGGAAGAAGGGGCTGAGCAATAAGCCAACAAACTAGCCTTGTAAAAAAGTGAAGTGATAGAAACACAACAAGATAGCCACTCCAGCAAACAACATGATAGACAGGGATGGCAGAGCCTTCCCTATGCCCTAACTGACTTCTGATGGCACAAGAAGGATTCAAATTCATGTTTACAGAGACATATAGATATACAGATGCACACAAAATGCCATTCGGTTACGTAAATTTTGGAACAAACTCACAGTAATCAAGGAATCCTGTGCCCATATGCCTGCAGACAGCAGCATACACTGTAACTAAACAAAGGATCCAGAATGCTGACTGATTTAACAGCATAGACTCTGAATGGCTCTTTACATACAGAGACTGATTCTGAGACCAGCCCTCCCTTTTTGTGGCTGCAAATACTCACGGATGCATTGTGAACACAAAGACAGTAGGCTATCTGTTTAAAATCTGCCAATAAGGTAGAATGTTGAAGTACAAATAGTAAGCAAATCTTTCCTCCCACACACACACACAGACACACACCCTGTCTATACTGATGCCAATTAATGTTAGACTTATTAGTATTATTTATTTAGGTACCTCCTACTGCAAATCAAATACCACAACCCCTGCTCTGACAAGCTAATGAAGTATGGCATCAATGAGACTCATGTGCATAAAGTTAAGTGTGTGCATGACTGTCTGCAGGATTAGGCCTAGGGCTCTGACCCCGCAATGAGTTCAGTGTGGATACACCCAATGCCCCACTGATTTCATTAACCCGAGTTGCAATAGAATATATACACAAAGAACGAGGAGTACTTGTGGCACCTTAGAGACTAACCAATTTATTTGAGCATAAGCTTTCGTGAGCTACAGCTCACTGCATCCGATGAAGTGAGCTGTAGCTCACGAAAGCTTATGCTCAAATAAATTGGTTAGTCTCTAAGGTGCCACAAGTACTCCTCGTTCTTTTTGCGAATACAGACTAACACGGCTGCTACTCTGAAACCAAGAATATATACAGACATTCTTCTTCTTTCCTGAATCCACAACATCAAAGTGCAGGGTGTGTCTGTCATCTTTCCATATCACATGAATGAACAAAATTGACCTTTAGGATAAAATGCGTTTATGTACTATTGGAAGTATGTTACTAAGGAAAAATAATAAGAGTTTTGTTCGAATGAAAGCATCAGTAAGGATGAGGGGCACAGTGTAATTCTCAAATATAGTCTGGTAAAGTAGCCCCTTTCATCAGGTCTTCTGTCTGTATCTATGTCTGATCTCAAATGCACCATGGAATTCCACGGTCTCCTTTACTGCTCATGTGGCATCATACCACTATTTAGTGGTGTTTTATGATACCTGAAAATAAAATATCCACACACCCAATATCTGATTGAGAAATAGGAATATTTCAAGTTTGCTAAATAAGCAAGGGGTTATTGGGTGGTCTTCCTGCTCTGTCTCCAATCAATCTCAGTTCAAAGCCAGATTTCAGATGCATCTGTTCTAGAAAATATAGCATCAATTAGATCCGTTCTATAATACAAATCAATGTATTTCACATGCAAAAAAGCAAACATTATGGGGACAAAACTGCCTTTAGAAAAACTTGTAGTGTTAGTATGTAGTTCAGGTAGCTGTAGTAATATGGTAGCACTAGATCAACATTTACATGGTTATAGACAAGTGTTTATGAGACTTACCACACAATTCCTTCATCAGATCTGGCAGCTTCATTTAAAAAGAAATACATTATGTAGGTAAGAAGAGTTGTAATTGTATCGTGTTGCCAGTTCAAATGAGACCCTTGTCTCCAATGCCCCTCACATACTGTGCTGCCTGTCTCTGATATCCCTCATACAGTTTACATGTTCATATCAACATAGACCATCCTCTCATCTATAGTAAAAATAAAACACAGCAACACTAGCAGAAGGAACCTTCTTGTCCCCAAATGTATAGATGCGCGTTTCAAAGTATGTTAGCCTATTTTCTCTCCTTCTATTTTTGAGGAATACAGCAACAAATAGTCCCTGCATAGTTAGGATACTTGAGGTACACATAGCGAAGGGCCTCTTTAGGTCACAGCTCTCATGCAGGGTGGCACCTGAAATGCTTGTAGAGAGCAAAGAGATTACACTACAGGTCGATCAGATATACCCAAGAGTCAAACAAATCCACAGGAACTGTCCAAAACAAATCACAGGAAGGTCAGAGAGGGACACAGGGCCTGGAAAGACCCTGACTGCCTCCTCTAGTCCCCACTGAACAACTACAGCATGAAGTAACTCTGAGAGTGCAGAACTGTAAGGGTGCTGATAGGAGTTCTTGGACAGGGCATAACAGCTTTCATCGGGGACTAAGCAGGACTAATATTGGAGGAATCTTAATCTTTTAGCTGTCCCAGCCCCATACAGATTTCAGAAGGCCTTCAAAAACAAAACAGGTTAGAAGAATAGTAAAAATTCCAGACAGAATTGATTCCTTTAACTTCAACTATTAGCCATTACAAAGGATCTTTCTTATTTTTCTCTTTATAAGAAAGAAAGAAAGAAAGAAAGAAAGAAAGAAAGAAAGAAAGAAAGAAAGCAAACAGTCAGCCTGACAAGAAGCTATTTTACCTTGTTACAGCCCTAGTGCAGATAGTAACGAGGAAGCAGCCAACAACAATCATCCATCCCCAGCCTCCGTCGGGAGGAGAGGAGAGCAGAACTTTCTTTGGTGTTGCCATAGCTGTGATAGTGATTCTTTTTTCTTCTTTCCAGAGTCACTGTCAGGGACCGACTCCAGCGGACACACAGAGCCTGCATGGAATGTTACCTGGTACAAGGATTATTTGCCATCTGAAACAGAAAAACAGCAGGGAGAGAATCAGACTAAGTCACCCTTCACAAAACCCCTGTGAAACTACATTATCAAAGGGTAATATATAGCTGTTGTTTTATTGTATGTGGTGATATATTTCTAACTACGATTGTGTAACACACATTCTGTGCATTGTGAAAAGCAAATGAATTTGGGTCACATTCTGTTGAAGTTAAAGGAGCTACAGGGATTTATACCGGTTGAGGATTTTGCCTGTATATGTGGATCACTGCATTTTGTTCCCGCAATTACACCTAGCACATAATACCACAAAATGCAGTGATCCACATATACAGGCAAAATCCTCAACCGGTATAAATCCCTGTAGCTCCTTTAACTTCAACAGAGCTACACTGACTAATGCTAACTGATGCTCTAGCCTGATTTTAATTAAAGTTGTAAAACAGTTTCCCTTATAATCAACTGTTTTCACTCACACATAATTTACTGAAAAATTCACCTTTTGGGCTGAAATTTTCACCTACACATTAAGGTGAATATTCCTGGAAGTCTGAGCTTTCTTGAACTACAGGTGAGTGGAAAAAAATCCCCCCCCCCCCCAACAAGCAAAACCTGTTGACAGTTATGATTTTTCTGAGTAGGAAAGAAGCATAAAGGGAGGAATTTTTACCCTTTCCCATGAAAACAGTCAACACAATGTCTGTGTACCACTTAAAACCTCAAAACAGGGTTTAAATGCAGTTTGAATGGGGCTGGACCTCTGCACTAGACTGAATTCAACCCAAAGGGCTCAATCCTGTAACCAACTAAAGTCATGTGAGTGGCCTTCTTAACAACTAAAGTTACTCATGTTACACACGTTTGCAGGATTGGACCCATAGTGACCAGCTGCCATGGCTGTGATTCGGTTTTCACCAACCACTACAATACAAGGCAGGGCTGAGCGTTCTGAGGCTAAGCCCCACGTATGCTCAGTTTCCTGCACATGCAGCCTGGCTGTCTGGGCTGTTCCCCATTCCCAGGTCTGGGCAGGATGACTGCATGGTTTGGGTGATTACTGTTAAGGGCTAGTTGCTTTGTTGCAGGGTTGTTGGGTTTTTTTTTTCCTGAATGAAGTAAAGACTTCAAACAAACAAGCAAAGCAGTCTGGTATGTGTTTCAATTTTGCTTGGAGAGAAACCTAAAATATCACAGCTATAGTGTAATATTGTAGATGCTGAACATACAACATTCATGCTGACAAGAATCACAGGCAGTCCCATGAAATGTTATCTGATAACATTTGGAGAAGGGCTTTGGGGCTCTTTAAAGGTACACAGTGATAAGCAACTCAGGGTAGTGATTAAATCTCTGATGAGATGCCTGCTCAGATCACACAGTTCCTCAGTCAGACACTGCGCAGATGCTTGACTCTGAAAGGCCCTGAGCCCTATGGTCACAAACCAGCAAAGCACTACAGCACATGCTTAACATTAAGAACCCGAGTCTTCCAACTGAAACTTGCACAATCCATCCTTGTAGCATCTCAGTTTGTGCATTTTGGAACAGAAAACTCTTTCCAAAGGCAGAAGCCACAGGGCAGTATTACAATGCACCAGAACTGGTGACCTGAGTTACGTAGTGAAGAGAATATTTGGAATTGCAATATGGAAACGTGTGCTTGTCTGCAGTTTCAGGCTGTTATTTTAATGCAAATGTGTTTTAGAAGGCATACTCCAAAAACAGTATCAAGGAATAAAACAATCCACAGAGCAGGCTAGACCTACGTGTCACTGCCATGCGATGACACAAGTTAAACCAGGTCACTGACAAAATGTCTGCCCCAATTCTTGATGTAAAGGATACCAGAAAAACCAGTTATTTCCACTGGTTTTCTGTCACTCTCTTTACTTGAGGCCAAGATACTGTATCGTGTGTGTTTTCTCTCTCTCATGTCTGATGGGGATAGCTGATATTTCTACTTAAATATTTCTAAATGGTTCAGAGCCAACAGGCTATGCACATTGTTAGCCTATGAAATGCATGTTTGTAAATTACACCCTCCTCCCTCTGATGGTTTGCCACACTCACTGGTTTTTCATTTAAATCATATTGGAAATGGACAGTGTCAACCTACATGTTTGTATACCACCTTGCACAATAGGCCTCTTGAGTGGCACCTTTGGGTGCTACCATGGTACAAATACGAACAACACATTAATTAAAATAAAATAGGGCTGCGAGTGGCTCCAGTTGTGGTGGAAATTACATCCCCTGTGATGGATCAGCTTCCCTTCCCAATTCACAGTGGCTTTCAATCTCATTAGTTTGTCAGATCCCTTACCCCCAACATAAAAAATAGCCCCTGTGTCATACTGAACACCTGATGTATCTGCAGTTTGGTTATATAGTAATGGTTATCTTTGCTCACAAAAATCTAACAAGAAGTCCCAGCTGTCATTGCAAGAGTTTTTATGAACAGCCACAGGAATAGGTAGCTAGGCCACAAATGTTCCTATGGGAGTTTAAAATGTAAAAGCTCGTACAAGTACAAGCTCACTCTTGCAAGAGAAGAGACCACAGACCTTGTCAGTTCAAATCTTGTCTCAGCCCTTATCCTCAAGGCAGTGAATGGCATGGGCCCAGGATACCTAAAAGGTCAACTGAAGCTCTGTGATGAAGACTATCATCGACAGCTGTGCTTCTCTGAACTCTACAATAAGAGTAAAGCTCTTCTGTTCAGGAGACAGGTCTTTCTCCAGGACTGGTCCAAGACTGTGGAATGAACTCCCCCAGGCACTAAGGACCACCACAAACCTCACCACCATCCAAGTGCAAGGTGTGTTTCTTTGACCTACCTTCTCTAACTAAAGTATATAGCAACATGTCTATACATCTTATTTTCAGAAGTTCCAAAACAAGACACTTCTCCCCTGGTGGGAGGATGAGAGAGCAAATACGTGACAAATGTTAGACAGGTTGCTTTATCCATTAATGGAAGGGACTCAGATACTATGGTGCTGAGTGCAGTATAAGAACCTATAAAGAATTACACACACACACACGCCCCCAAACACATAAAAGAAAAGAATATTAAGGTTGCCAAGTCAAGCTCTCAAAAGCTAGGAAATGCCAGAACTAAGGTTTCCTGTGCTTCCTTAATTTGTTCCTGTTGGGCATATGCATTATGTTACAGTCTTTAATTACATAATCACAGGGTGAGACTTAGGAATCTTTCCTTCCATTCCAGACTCTGGAGGGGAGTGTATTGTAGTGAACGTAGACTTTTTTTGTTCGTTTCCTCCAACCTTGACCCCTTCTGCCTCATCCCCTCTAAAAGGTCCCTGACCCAGTCCTGTCTCTTTAACCACCCTTTGCTCCTTGTCACAGTCCCATCCTCTACTCCTCAGTCTTCTTATCCCAGTGCCAGTCTTCTTGTCCAGCCAGTCCTTGTCTTCCCCTCCAGGTTCACTTCCAATCTACCCCCTGGCTCCCAGTTTCTCGCCTTCCCCACACCCAGTCCCAGTCTCCTTGCCCAGGCAGTCCCAGTTCCTGCCTCCCAGATCCTCATCTAATCCATCTCTGTCTTCCTCACATTGGCTTCCAGTCCCAGTCTCCCTTCCTGGGTTTATCCAACCTCAATCTCTTCCTTCCATCTCCTTACTGGCTACTTAGCCTAGTCATTTTGCCTAGTCCAGTTTCTTCCCCCACACCCTGCTCCTTGTCAGATCTGTCTCTTCTCTACCACTGACCCCATTTCCCTCCAAGCATTCCTAGTCCCAGTCCCCTTGTCCAGCCAGTTCCAGTCTTCCTTCTGCCCCTCACCTCCTAGTACACCATCCAACCTCAGTGTCATACCCCCAGCCACCTGGCTCGCCGTCCCCACCCCAGCCTGGAACAGCTGGGAGGAGTCATTACAGCTGAAGTCCCTCTGAGCTCCCATAACCTTGGGCTGCAGTATGTTCATTCACCCTGTGGGGATGGCACATGCACAGTCTGGTCAGCACTAGGCTATGAGAGGATGGAGCATGCTCAGTGAGGATAGAATCTTTGTAGATTTTAGCTATTAATATTGACATTTTTATTGAACATATGCAAACTGCAATTTTTCAAAGGCTTATATCTTGACCAGATTTGGGAGGATTTTCCTGGGGATGGCATTAGTTGACACACAGGCAACCCCCTGTCACATTTCAAGTCCCTGCTCCAAAGCTTGGAGGTGCTAAAGCATTTCTGAAAATGTGTCAAGAATTTTTTAACATGGGCTAAATAATCATAGAATCAGAGAATATCAGGGTTGGAAGGGACCTCAGGAGGTCATCTAGTCCAACCCCCTGCTCAAAGCAGGACCAATCCCCAACTAAATCATCCCAGCCAGGCCTTTGTCAAGGCTGACCTTAAAAATGTCTAAGGAAGGAGATTCCACCACCTCCCTAGGTAACGCATTCCAGTGTTTCACCACCCTCCTAGTGTAAAAGTTTTTCCTAATATCCAAACTAAACCTCCCCCACTGCAACTTGAGACCATTCTGTCATCAGCTACCACTGAGAACAGTCTAGATCCATCCTCTTTGGAACCCCCTTTCAGGTAGTTGAAAGCAGCTATCAAATCCCCCCTCATTCTTCTTTTCCGCAGACTAAACAATCCCAGTTCTCTCAGCCTCTCGTCATAAGTCATGTGTTCCAGTCCCCTAATCATTTTTGTTGCCCTCCGCTGGACTCTTTCCAATTTTTCCACATCTTTCTTGTAGTGTGGGGCCCAAAACTGGACACAATACTCCAGATGAGGCCTCACCAATGTCGAATAGAGGAGAACGATCACGTCCCTCGATCTGCTGGCAATGCCCCTACATATACATCCCAAAATGCCATTGGCCTTCTTGGCAACAAGGGCACACTGTTGACTCATATCCAGCTTTTCGTCCACTGTAATCCCTAGGTCCTTTTCTGAAGAACTGCTGCCGAGCCATTCGGTCCCTAGTCTGTAGCAGTGCATGGGATTCTTCCATCCTAAGTGCAGGACTCTGCACTTGTCCTTGTTGAACCTCATCAGATTTCTTTTGGCCTAATCCTCTAATTTGTCTAGGGCCCTCTGTATCCTATCCCTACCCTCCAGTG